TTTCTGCCATCAGGTTTGAGTGGCTACCCTTTTCTACAATCTTACCTTTGTCCATAACAATTATAGTATCTGAATTTATTACTGTGGAAAGCCTGTGTGCCACTGTGATTTGTGTCACTTTCGTGCCCCCAAAACTGTTTAGTTTCATTGATCCCAGTGCACTCACCACTGCCCTTTCTGACTCGGTATCTAAGGCACTTGTTGCTTCATCCAACAGCATTATTCTTGGCTTTTTGAGCAAGGCCCTTGCTATTGCTATTCTCTGTTTTTGCCCTCCAGAGAGTTGGGAACCCTTCTCCCCCACAAGAGTGTCATATCCGTCAGGCAAGTTACTTATAAACTCATGTATGTTTGCTGACCTTGAGACTTCCACTATTTCAGCTTCTGATGCTCTTTCACTCCCATAGCAGATATTTTCTCTAATTGAGCAGCTAAACAGGAGTGGCTCCTGTTGTACCAATCCAATCTGTGCCCTTAACTTTCTAAGATTGTAATATCTTATATTCTTGCCATCAATCAGAACTTTTCCCTCGTTAATATCATAGAATCTCAGTAACAACGCCACAATTGAAGATTTTCCAGCTCCACTTTGCCCAACAAGTGCCACCTTTAATCCAGCTTCAACTTGTAGACTGAAATTGTTGAGAACTATTGCTTTTGGTCTCGATGGATAACAAAACAGGACATTTAGGAATTCAATTTCTCCTTTAATAGTTTCATGTTCTGAAGTATCTGGCGCGTCTGGTATAATTTCTGTGCACCGGTCAAGGTTTTGGAATACAGGTTTTAGTACATCTATGGCTGATAGTACTGTGGGTATCAGTGTCCATAGTTCTGTAATTGAGGGTACAGTTAGGGAGAATATCTGGTATGCCCTTATCCCATTCTCAAAGCTGGCTTGGTTCCTGTCGACAAGAATTGTTGTGTACCACAAGGCTACTGCATGAGCTATGTTCCATAAGCAGAGAGAGGTGCCTTGGATAATTCCAAATTTGATGCTTTCTGTCTTCCCTTTCCTAAGTGGCCTCTTCAAAGACAGTTTGGCCTTCTCGAGTATCTGCTCTTCGTGGCAAAAAGACGCAACAGTCTTTATATTAGTTGCAGATTCAGAAGCTAGGGCAACAAGTTCTGAGTGTGCTAGAGTACCATCATCAGAAAATCCTTTAGCTGACTTTGCTTGAATGAGGCCACCTATGAAGTGGCATGGCATCACAGCCCAGGCTACCAGACTCATTCTCCAATTAACTATCATGCTGACAGTTGTTGCAATCACTATGGATGAAATGCACTGAACAATGACAGACATGCGGTCAGATATTATGATCTTGACTGTGGATGTGTCACTGACTATCCTTGATGTAAGTGATCCAATACCGTTTTCGGGCTTTTCAAACCAAGCTAATTCATTTCGTAGTGTGGCTGCAAATAATTTTTGAAATATCATAAACCTCAACTTTTATATTGGTAAAACAAAAAGTTTCTGCGTAGGGAACAAAACTGAAGGTAAAATAGCCATGGAGAAAAGAGGAAATGGAAGAAAACAAAAACAGAAATTGATGTATCTGATCTTCCAGGAGTTCATGTAAGTAGGATACCTGTATACAAAGCTCGCCTGAGATTTGTCATGGCCTTTTCTCCAACTATTCCAAATAAGTAATGCTGCAAAGTGTTAGCAAACAAAGAAAGCACCCCAATTGAAGCAAATATTGCTGAATACAGAGCTACTTTCTCCTTTGAATCAGGATGGTAATATGCCACTCCTATCGTAATGATGAAGTACCCAAAAAAAGGTTTGGAGATGCCTGCAAAAGCTGCTGCTAAGGAGCCAATAGTAGTCTTTATGATCTCTTTCTCAGTCAAGGCAAACCAGATTCTGAAGAATATATGTGTTTCTTTTTTCTGGATGTGCTCCTTCTCAGGAAGTTCCTTAACCTCTCTTTTGCTTTCCCTTGGCTCATCATGTTGCTCATCGTCCTGAGATGAATCCTCTTTTATGGGAAGAGTTTTCTTTTTTGTAACTTCCGACCTGTCAATTAAATGTATTTCATTTAAGTTCAACCAGTTTAATTTGTAACGATGAATATGTATTTGTTGTTGTTTGTTGGCAGTACCTCCTTGGTACTTGCCTTAATAAAATTACCTTATTTTATCCAAATAAAGGAAAAAGAAATTGTAACGATGAATATGAAGTGGAGTATAATCTGACCTGGTTTGACATTCTTCACTGATGTGCTGCATGCTAAATAAGCTATTGTAGAATGTACTCGTATCTAATAGGTTATGATGTGTTCCTGTCTCCACTACTTTCCCGTTCTCAACAATAGCTATCATATCTGCATTAACAATAGTTGACATTCTGTGCGCAATTAAGATGACTGTTCTGCCTTGCGCTGCTGTTTCAAGTGCTTCTTGAACTTGCTTCTCCGACTCTGTGTCAAGTGCACTGGTGCCTTCATCAAGCAAAAGAATTGGAGGATTCTTTAAGATTGATCTTGCTATTGCAATTCTTTGTTTCTGTCCACCTGATAGTTGCCGACCACTTTGCCCTACCTAGGAGAGAACATTACAAGAAAGCTAATTTAGCAGGCTTTGGTTTTTTCATGGAAGCTGCGCTAATACAAGAATCAATACATAGTTTAGAATGTACTGTGAGGTCATGCCTTAAAGCTACTTTCCTTTTGATTATCATGCTGGGAGGATGACAGAGGAGCAATGAATATTTCTTCGATAAGAATTTGGAATCCTCAATTTAGGGCATTTGGCTCTTGATGTCCTACAGTAGTAATTAGTAAATTTTTATCGTTAATCGTATTCCACCGTTAGATTTCAATTTACTACTTTAGGGATTTTCTTACGTGAGTAACCCTCTTTGATTATCAAATGGTTTCATCCTTTGTCAGAGTGTACTTCTTATACGGGGTTGTATGTGGTAACCAGCTGTTCTTATTTGCCTTCTTTCTTTCATTTTCCTACTGTGCTATACAGGAAAATTGAATAAGGAAACAGCACTTTCAGGTGATCTCAGCAAATGCTCTCTTGAGCTTGTACTGCAGCTGAAATTGGTGTTCATGGAATTATATTGGTTCATTTGAATCTGTATATCTACTGTACGAAATCTGTGTGTTCTCATCCTTCTATTTAGCAATCTCTTATTGTCAATGTCTCAAAAGGAATCTAACAGGGAAGTCATTTGTCGTGGTTTGGGTAAAGGCAGTAAGACTTGCTAGGTGCACAGCTTTTTCCTCCAGGCGTTCTCAAGCCCAAGACATGCCTTTGGGTGTCCTTTTTGTTTCTGAGGTGGAGAAGCGGAAAATCCTTTTTTTATCCTGATCATGAGGAGCAAAACTTATCATGATCTGGCTTTGGTATGCAAGCTATGCTTATCAGTTCTTTTTTAATTGAATCTTGTCTTTTTAGAGTTCATAAAGGTCTAATTAGCTTCTGATTATCCCAGCTAATTAAGGATTCTCTGCAGATGAGACTTCGAGCTATGATGATGCCAAAAATTAATGCTAATATCTTTAGTTTAGAATGAGAAGTCAACACCTACGAATTTCATTAGGATGCAAACATTAGCTTTTGGTACTTGTTTTATTTCTCGAAGTGCATTTATGTTTTTGTTCTGTTTCATTTGGCCCCTTGGATGTTTCTAACTGAAATGTTGGATTTGGGAGACACTCTCAGATGTTTCTCCTCAACTTTGATTCTTTAGGAATCTACTAGGTTATGAACTAGCATGTTCAAGTAATTGTAGACAGGTGTGGTAGACTGTCTTTTTGATGAAGCTAGAAAACTCTTTCAATGTCTGAAGTATCATTGGAGGATATATAATGCTACCTAAATTCATATGGTAGCTAACTTCTTCTATTTATGAATATCCTTCTCCTCTTCCCCTCATCTTCCTCTTTTTCCTTTCTTTAGCAATACCTCTAATTGACCCTATGAATTGTAGAAACATTTTTTATTATTATACTCCCTCCGTTACAATTTATTTGAACCCATTTGACTGGGCACGGAGTTTAAGAAAAGAGAGAAGACTTTTGAATATGTGGTATAAAATGAGGCACATATATTTTGTGTGGCTATAAATCATTGCATAAAGGTAAATTGTTGCCAAATAAGGAAGGAGGTCATTCTTTTTGGCACGGACTAAAAAGGAAATAGGTTCACATAAATTGAAACAGAGGGAGTATTAATTTTCATGTTCTTTCCGGCATGATTTGCCCATTACTCCATGACCAAATAGGAAATTTAATCATTCATTTAATTGAAAATATGCAGAACTTAATACCACAAACTGTGTAGATGGCTATATTTCTTTTTTCTAGAATCAGCCTAATGAAACAGTTATCATTGTCTGAGTGCTAGTGGTCTGACCTCTGTTAGATATTGATCCGGTAACTGGGATATGAAAGCATGTGCATTTGCCAAGAGGGCAGCTCTCTCAATCTGTTGATCATCTGCGTCTATGTTTCCCATCTTAATGTTATCTTTGATGCTGCCAGCGAATAGTGATGGCTCCTGGGAAACTACTCCTATGTGTCTTCTAAGAAACTTTAAATCAAGATCCTTGATGTTGTGGTTGTCAAGGAGAATATCACCTGATGGTTTTCATACACAGTGAGTTTTTGGATTTTGTGTGATTCAGCTAATGTATTTGATTGATGCAGTATGAACATTATGAAGCTTTTAGACATTTAGATGTGAAACATTTCTTTTGTCAGATGCTCTTGCAAATTCAGCATCTGAGATTTGTAATTAATAGTGAATATATGACCAACCTCTCATGGGATCGTAAAATCTCATTAGTAGTGACATGATGGTGCTTTTACCGCACCCACTACTTCCAACAAGTGCCGCTACTTTTCCCGCTGGAATTGTCAAAGAAAACCCTTGAAGAACCAACTTCTCCTGCCGTGATGGGTAAGCAAAGTGTACATCCTGTATCTTGATATTGCCATCGATTACTTCAAATGTCATCCTTCCGGAGTCAGCATTTATTGTGGGTTTTCTGTCGATCATCTGGAAAACTTCTCTTCCGGCTGCTTTTGCTTGATTGAAGATTTGTATATCTGGTGCAGCATACGTAAGTGATCTGAAATTTGAGAAAGAGAACAAAAACTCATCTAGTTGCTGTTTCTAAGGTACTTGGTTTTTCTCTTTCATAATACGAAGTGTCTGTATATAGAATATGAAGTTTTGGCTCTTACATTGCTCCAAAGAGGATGCTCATAACTGCAGCTATGACATCTCCTCCACTGGACCTCCTGGCTGCTACTACAACAGCTCCCACCCACACAATAAGAGCCCACGAACTGAAAGTTATAGTTTGGAACATGCCTGTCCCAAGACCTTTTATAAATGCTTCTTTCTTGCTTATGCTCATTTGTCTTTCTGTGCAGTCTGAGAACGATTTGATTGATAAATTCTCTCCAACAAAAGCAAATACAGTTCTTATCTGGGAGATCGTCTGTCATATAGCATCAGATATGCAGTATGAATAAATTGTCATCTGATATTGTAAAATAAGCTTGGCTCATTGGCCTATGCTTTATAATATGAAATTGTCACTGAAGAAATTGCTATAACTTGTCACCTGTTCTACCATTGATGTGGCCTCTGACAGGTATGTCATTTTTTTATTCGAAATCAGACTCATTCTCTTTGTATAGCTGGCGCCAGTTAACATAATCAGTGGGACAACTAGTAAGGATAGGAGTGACACTTCCCAGCAGGATATGAATGCAATCAAAACTCCAGAACCGAAAGTTGCAATGCATGATAGAAAATGTCCCAACTGTCATGGAAAAGGAAAAAATGTTAGGTTGAAATGGATGATAGCAAGGTAAGTGCTAATATTAGATTATAAATAAGTGAGAGATTTGTGAGGCTTCTTGATGTCTAAGATGTCATAAGGTAAATATTGTTAACTAAATCTTTCCAACTGTTATGGACCGTCTTTGAACTCAATTTCGTGCGACAGGCAACTGGTTCAGCTCTGAGGAAGCAATTCTAAAATCTACTGAAGTAGCTCTATCATGTGTGAGGAAATATCCATTTGTATGCTAAAATGGTCGATGCAAGCTAGCACCGAACAGGCTTTTTTTCCTTCCCTTTTTATAGCTTATTGAGCTGTTTCATCACTGATTCAATCATCAAGTTCCCTTCATCCTACGGATCTTAACTTCATTGATCACTTAAGTGCTTTCTTACTTATCATTAAACTTCATTATGAGGAGTAAGGTTCAAAAAGTTTGGTCTCGGACTTTTTTTAAAAAAACTAACAGCTCTCGTAGAAAGTAATATTCATTTCAAGTTTGGTCAACTTTGCCTGGACTGGATTAATTTCCTTCATAAGGGGTTGGTCCGTGTCCTTAAAGGGACCTGGACCGGGCGACATTCTCAACTGGACCAGCCGGGTTCTGGTGTCCAACCCATGGCCTAAAAGATTGGATAAAGCTCCTTCCTTGAGAAATTTAACCAGGCTCGACTGGCTCCTAGTGGCCTGGTCTGGTCATATTTAAGTGGAGCAGACACTTTGCATTCATGGCACCTTAAGATTAAAATAAAGCAGCATATCATAGATTGCTAATGGAAGCCAAGAATAATGTTGAGCTATTTACCTTCTCTCCTATGGTGTCCTGTATGAGTGACATGTGGTTGCTTATGCCAGTAAGTACTTTGCCACTAGTTATATCTGTATCAAAAGCCCCAATATCCTGTCTTAAGACTGCACTTAGAAATTTTAGTCTCAAGCCTGCTACTTGTCTTTGACTAGCGTACATCCAGCATCCTATTTCTGCATATCCCACATTAGCACTTTTTAACTCCAAAATCTTTCTACTGTTTCAAACCATATTCACAGTAAAATGTCGTTGCTTGGTTTTGAATTTTCAACTTGACATTTTCTAAACTGCTGTTATCATAATCTTTGCAAGACAGACTTGCTTATTGAAACTTTAGTATATAGTAATAACGTTAATTTTAAGAAAAGAATTAGTATGATATTAGTAAAGTCGTTACCCAGAACTCCAGCAGGAAATGTTGCAAAGGCCATATACCATACATAAGGAACGACCTGAAATAATTGTGAGAAAGACAGCTTAATAAGACCCCCCTTCGCCTGGTGAATAAAATAGTGAATTTTCTGTGTGGCCATAAATATTATGGAGAAACTTGTTTGAGGAATATTTCAAGTGAAGTAATGCTTTTCTCTTATAAATCTTCATTGTTTTATGTGAAATAATGTATGTTTACCTTTTATCAAACTTCAACTTTAAATATTCTTTTTTCAACTTCAACCATAGCTGAAGGTTTGAGACATACCTTTTTGAGGGCTCTAACCATAGCTGCAGTATCATCAATATTATTTCCAAATGCATCAAGGGCTTTGCCAAGAAGAAAATAGCCAACAGGCTGGGCAAGTCCATGGACAATGGAACCCAGTGTTCCCAAAGCCATTAACGTCCAGTCAAGTGCATCTGCTTCACTCAGCAGTTTGTGAAATGGCAAAGTCTCAGATCTAGCCTTCTTAATCGTGTCGTCTTCCTCCTCACCTTTTTTTCTCTGATTATCAATGGCTTCTCTAACTTGAGCCATCTTAATTTCCTCTTTTGTTGTTTTCATGCAGACATTTATATGCAGACATGCATGTTGTTGATAACGCCCACGAGGAATATTTGCTCGGATATACCTAAGATAAAATAATATACAAACAACCTTATTTAATGGTAAACCATGATTCAGTATGTTTTCAACCCGTATTCGATCAGTTACCTATTTATCTATATATTCAATGGATTAGTCCCAAGGTTATCGACAAAAGGATTTGACTAAGCCACTTCATTTCTCCTTTTGTCCAAGTAATAGTTTCATCCCCCTTTATGATTTGACTTAGGGGTGTACATATACTGGGTTAGTTCGATTTTATCAAAATCAAATCACACTAAACCAACTATATCCGTTTGGATTGGTTCGATTTTTTCAGGGTTTTGAAATTTTTTGTTACATGAATATTATTTTAATCTTACTTTGTTCAATTTATAGATAAAATTTTAATAAGTGAATATATATTTAGTAAAAATTGACAACATATGATCTATTAAATATTCTTATGGGAGAATTTTTTTTACTAACACATGATAGTTATTTAATCTAACCGGTTTGGTTTGACTTTTCGATTTGCTGCGGTTTTCTGGTTCAGTTTGAACACCCTTAATTCGACTTAGCCAATCAATCAGCCAGTACGTATTGTTTTATGCAGCTGAGGAAAACCATGATGCCAGTTCCCATCGTTATGCAAGTGCTATATTCGGTATTCAGTATTCTGCAGTATATTCTATGAAGTATAATTATTAGGTTGACCACTAGGTTTCGCCTGCTTTCGGTTAACAGAATTAGGAATGTAATATCTTGCAATAAATTGTTGTGACATTTACAATTATATAGAGAGCATGATAAAGACTGGGATGTTGATCTAATGTCCCTTTCTATCTTTAATTCCTTAATTATCAGGATCAGCTTGCATATTCTCAGGAAAAAAATGGGCATGGGGAAGCGGAGGAACGTTTTCAAATGTAAGGTATCAAAGGTCTAGCATATACAACTACGAGATAACGATATACAACAATCTTTAGACAAAATGTAGAAATCAAATTTGTAGAATATATCTTTCCATCAATCTCAATTGAGAGCTGGAGCTAGTAATAATTGAATTCCCTTTGTCGAAAAATTGTACAAATAGGATAAACGTAAAATTTATTATTTATATATAAACCGTTGAATCTCATTGTCATAAACGAAAACTCAAGTGTAATGGCAAAGAGGTTTAAAAGTTGGTCACAAGTAGGGGTGACAAGCGGGTCGAGTCGGATATGAGCGGGTCGAAAACGGATAATACAAAACGGATATATTATCCGGCCCGACCCATATTTAATACGGATAGAAAATGGGTTAACCGGCGGATAATAATATTATTCATGGCTTTTTGAATATGATACTTTTGGGAGAATTCCCAGTTTTTCAAGCTTGAGGAGCCCCCAATTTGAGTCTTTACAAATGTAAAAGTTAAACCTATTAGTTATCTATTAGTTAACCATTGATTATCCATTTTCTAAGTGGATAATATGGTTCTTATCCATATTTGACCAGTTTTTAAAAAGTTCATAATCCAACCTATTTTTTAGTGGATAATATGGATGGATAACTGTTTATTTTTATCCATTTTGCCACCACTAATCACAAGATTGAATCCCAAGTATGCATTCTATAGTATTTTCTTGAATTTCCCTTATATAAATTCCCGACTCCACCACTGAGTGTAACAATACGTCACATCTATTGGAATAAAAATTTAGATCCATCTTGCCTTGTTTGGATAATTTATTTTGTTTCTTTCAATTTCAGTTTTCTTTTCGGCTAAAAGGTGGATAAGAAAGTCGAACCTTTGATTGACCTGAACCCATAAAATTTTTACCGTTTAAAGAGATTTCTGTTTACCCATAAAACGGTACAATTGAATTTGTTACATGGTTTAAAGACAAGCGAACTGATTTGATCTCAAAATAATAAATAAATTAAATGAAAAGTAAGACTTAATATTGAAATCGAAAGAAATAACAAGATTGGTTCCGGAAGCAAGGCTTTCGAAGACAGCGACAAGAACTATACTAGACAAAAGATAAAATTGTATTATTCAGCTTGATAGTAAAATGTAGCATAAGATTTGCTAGAGATCTCGTGTGTTACAATGGTTATTGAATTCCCTATTTATAGCTATACCTAGGGAACAAGATCCTAGGATCAAGACCCTCTTAAATGACAATAATGGGGGTCATTGATGAATATGTAACGACATGTCATAAATGCCAAAATTCTCTGCAACGGCTGCATATTTAATACAGAAGAATATTCTTCATTAAATGCCATCTGGTGACAAACATTCATTTGCTTCTGTTGACTGTGTTCCCTTCAGAATCTGCCCGGTATCAACTGAAGCTTCTATCTTCGGTCTTGGTTTTCACTCCCCTCATCTTCTGTCTGCCTCTGGTTCCACGTGTCATGTAATCATTTGAGCATTTAATATAAACTAATTTTACCCTATACAGATAGTCCCCCTGCTTTCCGGTGGCACATCTTTGTGTCATCGGAAAGTTGGTGAAGATTCCTTTCTTGGCAAAAAATTTTCTGAACCCTTTTGAAAAGTTTCCGATGCTTGATAAGACTCACGTCACACGTGTTACCCCATGATTTAGAAATATTTTTGTCGGTTCTCGAGGTAATCATGACTACGATTTTAGCCATATATACCTTTACTTATACACCTCATTCTTCTTCTTTCACGTATAACAACTTCATAAGCTTTCTTAACTTTTTTGCACTTAACTTTCTTCTGTTTTCATCTCTCTTTGTTCTTCTTCAAAAAACTTTATCAACTCCTTATCATTATGGCTTCTTCTAAATTTTTCAAGAACTCTGGTCTTCTCTTTGGTAGGGGCCCGAAGAGGAGCAAAGATAAAAAGGTTGATGTTGATTCTGATCATCCCACGGTGAGCACCATCATACCCAAACATCTGAACACTGCCAAAGATTTCGAAGAGAAATTCTCTACTTCAAACTTTCGAACTTGGGCTGTTGGTAGATACCCTTCTTCTATTCGCCCTTCCAGTATTCCCGCTGTGAAGTAAGATTGTGACTACCATGCCCTAAATATTATTGCTCCTAACTTGGTGGAACGGGTGACCTTCACTAAGATGGGTTTTACGTACATTTACATGTATCCCTTCACTTTGGGTCCATTTTTTTTGAGCGGGGGACTTGACCCCGTGATTTTGGAGTTGTGCCATCGGTACCAGGTCTATTTGGCTCAGGTGGGCCCTTCGGTGTGGCGAACAGTGGCTTGTCTGCGGCGGCTGTGCCTGGAAACGAGGGAGCCCCTCACCCTGGCACATCTGATGAACCTATACTCCCCCAAAATGGGGGAGTAATAAACTTCAACAACCGTGGCCACCATTCGTTTCTTACCAGCATGGACGATGACAATGACCGTAGATGGATGGAGCGGTTTGTCATCATTTCCACTAGGGATATCATCCCGGGCGCAACTCCATCTTTCCCCGAATCTTGGAATCGTTCACGTAAGTTCAAAATCTACTTCCTTCTCCGAAGAAGGTTGTCCCATGCCATTGTTAACCCTTTTTCTTTCGTTATTTCATCTACTCAGTGGTCACTACCATAAGTTAAAGGCCTTGATCGATGGGTTCAGAAGATTCTGGACATCACTACGCTAGAAACCCGCCGGTGGAAGGAGTTGACCCCCAAATACGGGCGGAGGGCCAAGAACCACGGTAAACTGACTCTTCCTTCATTCCTCCTTTGCAAATAAGAAAACCTGCTAACCCTACCTTTTTGTTTGATTCAGGTCTCCTGAAGGGTCCTGTTTCCTGCCTTGAGGAGGATGTTTTGGTCGATCCCACAGAGGCTGCGAGGTTATTGCAAGAGGCTCTCACCCGGATCGGTTCCCTCAGGTCTGCTTCCGGTGCAGGTGCTTCCTCTCGAAGTCCTCGGCTAGAGAACAAGCAACCAAAAAGGCAGGGTTCCTACTCAGTTGGGGTAAAAATTTAAGAAAGTGAAGAAGGCCACGCCCGAGCCAGCCGTAGCCACTGTGGTTATTGATGATGATGGGGATGCTAGTGATGAAGAGGCTTCCCTTCAAAGAGACAACGATCTTTATCAGCTTAACATAATGCTCAATTTGGAGAGCTTAGAACCCCAACCGAGGGCGAGGTCCGAGCACTCGGTGAGAGTGGATTTAGTGAAGAATGCTAATTCTCCCTTTCCAGTCCAAGTCGTCTCTTCTGGTCCAAAGAGGTTGGGTACCGGGCCCCTTCTGCCTTTGGTTGATGAGAAACCAATAAACAACACTGCCTTTGTCGCAGTTGCTTATGAACCTTCAACACCATCAGCTTTATCTCCCTCCACACAAGTTGTGCCTTCATCACCAACAATTGCTACATCTCCTCCACCGGCCGCAGACGCCCGAGAGGAGGATGTCCCTCCTCCCCAGTCCCCCAACCATGAGAATTTGGGGCACAACTATTCATCCCCTTCTACATATCCCCAAGGGAGGAGGAGCGTTTCTCTCTCGGACTCAAATAAGTACCATCTTCTATCCAGGCCGGTGGAACTTGCCAACTATCTGAAGCTGCTGGCTTCAAAGAAAGATAAGAAGAAAATACACTCTCTTTTGGGGGAGTGTATGTTGAATAATGCCATGTACAATGCAGCAACGGTATTGTACTTGCTTTCTTTATTGTTTGTCTCTATTTGACTTGTTTAAATAGGGTTTCTGACTTCAATATTTGTTTTACAAGCCAAAATCCTCGCTTTCGAGGTACTTCAGAGATTGATCCTTGACAAAGAAGGACTTATATCAGAGCGGGATCAACTGTTGGCTGAGAGGAACCAACTCGCCGTGCACCTCCCGGTGTTAGAAGTGAAGGCTGTTGAAGCGGCCAGCTTGAAGTCCGGTTGCAACAGAGTGAGCAGAAGGTAATGGCTCAAAGTCAAGAAGCCACTCAGCTACATGCACAACTTCAAGATGCAAAGGCTAAGTGGGCTGAGTCTCAAGATGCTGCTCTTACTGCTACCGAGAGCGAGTCTACCT